TATGACTCTCACCGAGAATTTCAACTGAAGCCGAGGTGGGCGATGTGGTCGTCCGCGAGGGTCAGCTCATCACCATTGATGGTGTCACGGGACAGGTGATGCTGGGAGAAGTCCCCACGGTGCCTCCGCAGCTCTCCGGCGTCTTTGGCAGCAAAAGCCCAAAGAAACCGTTCAACCTCGAATAGCCCACCCTAGTATTAGTTAGCGCAGGAAGATGGGTGATCGGGCGAGGAGACCCTGTCTTCTGAAGTTCCAACAACCCCACAGCGAGCGTGGGGAATACTTTCAACAGCTGAACCTTCAAGATCCTGAGTATTGAGCACTGTCCTAAACCATGCTCCTGAAATCCCATGCCACACCCTAGAAATCACCATGCTTGAGCCAAAGGCGCCTTCGGCACCATCATGTCCTGGGCCGACGAGTTCCGCTCCATGCAGGTTCGGGCCAACGCCGAAACACCCGCAGACGCGCGCCAGGCCGGGTATGAGGATTGAGAGTTGAGGTTTGGGGCGTAGCGTTTAGGATTGGGACTGAAGAAAGGTTTCAGAAGGATGACCCGCCGGAGGAGGCACTTCCATGTCAGGTCGAACGGAATTTCAAGCTTTGAGCTGAGGCAAAGGAGTTTGGGTGCGAAGGCATCGGCTTGGTGCGCACGGAGCACATGTTCTTCGAAGGCGGCCGGATCGTGGCACCACGGTGCAATTCCATACGTAAGGTCAGAGTTTTTTTCTGGGTGTGCTGCATTACAGACAATTAAAAAGTGTGGAGGAATATATGAGTCACCAACGAGTATCCCTTAAGGCCATGCGGCAGATGATCTTGGCATCGGACAAGACGGACCGGCAGGCAGCTTTGGACAAGCTTCTGGCTATGCAGCGAGAAGACATCACGGAACTTTTCCGGAGCTTGTTTCCCTTTAGAGCATATGTTGGTGCTGTCTTTTGTGATTTTATATTTCCCGAACCTCTTTTACAACCCGTCTGCTGCAAAGCAAGTTGTCCAGGATCATGGACGGCCTGCCCGTGACGGTCCGTCTGCTGGACCCTCCCTTGCATGAGCGCAGCCCTCAGTATGGCCCTGCCGAGTCATCCCTGGGTAGCAGAAGATGAAAGAGTATGTGGCAAGAGTGCTGCATAGTGCTGCAATACCAATCGCAATTTACAATAGCACCAGTATGAATCAAACTCCACAGAATCCTTAACAAACCGCGCCGAGAATCCATTCCCTCATGCCCTGCAAGGTCTTTGCCAAGCTTAAAACCTCCAAAGATAAGCAACAACTTCTGAATGCTGTACCCCCCAACATCTGTGGGCTTCGAGGTTCATCCCGCACACGGAAGCTGAGATGGGCTTGGTGGCAAAGGCCGCCGGTGTGCCCTTGGATCATTCCTTAGAGGTCTTTAGGGTTTAGGGTTATTCGGGATGAGGGCTTGGGGTTTATGGTTTCGGGATGAAGGTTTGATTTTCGGAATCCAGTTTAGAGATGGCGGTTGAGGCTTTAGGGATTAGATCTCGCATTTAGGGTCACTCCGTTCCAAATCGAGCCCATGATCTAGGTGCCTTTGGATCGTGTGCGCCGCCGGGCCAGTGAGCTGCAAGAGGCCAATCCCATGCTTGGCCACCGAGGTGCGACTAGATAGCATGAGGGGGAGGGTATGTCAATGTCTTTCAAAAGGAACGGGGTGCCATTTTGGGGAGAAGATCCTAGGTTTTCAGGTAGCCAGTCCTTCATGTTCTGAAGCCATCTGAATGCGAGCCCGTTCCCTACCTCCTCTGGCCCCCTTCAGGTTGCCGTCTGGCCATTACATATCCAGAAATCTGTGAGATGCAGGCACGGAAGTTTGTGGGATGTGTTTCTTGCAACGGATGCCCGGATTTAAATTTTGCTTTCTTTACATAGCCCGTCATAGTCCCCTCTGCATTCGCGCTCTCACCCGTTTTGTGTCCCTACAGAGTCCTTCCCTTCAAGCCCATAGAGCTGATACGACGACCCGTCCTTACAAACTCCTTCCAAGTCCTCCTCAGCAGGCTCGGGCCATCTTCGAGGCAGCAGCAGAGGTCGGCCGCAGCGCCAAGAAGACACCGGTGGCTGAGGTCATGGTACCTTTGGTGTCCACCTTGGAGGCAGCTGGTCTGCTTTGTTTCAGGTTTTGAGGATTTTTTCAATATCTGTTTCCTTGATTTGTTCACCTTGTGCTTTGTCTCCTTCGCGCTGTCCTCTGTCCAGGTCCAGCTTGAGGAAGTTGAAGGAACGTTCTGTACACTTGTGTAAAATTTCTGTCTAATTTTTTCTGTAATTTTCTGCAATTGTTTCGCTGGCAGGAAAGGTGTATGGCTTCGCCAGCATTGCATATTAATATGAAACCTAACACGTTTGAGTCAGGAGCTGGTTCAGCTGAAGAAGGTGATCGAAGCAACGGCCCAGCAGGTTCAGAAGGAGCAGGGCGTGAATTTCACATACCGCGTTGGAACTATGGTGCGAGCTTTCCAAAAGGAGTCCTTCTATGTCCTCCTTGTAAGGTGCTTGTGTACGGCTTGCCTAGTTTTCGGTCTGTTTACCCTTCACCCTGATTCCAAACTCGAAACCTCCCCAACCCCAAGCCCCCACAACCCCAAACCCCATTACTCCAAACACATTGACAGGAGAAAAGATTTATTATAAAACCAAGCTACTCCGCCGAATTAATGGGCTCCGCCCTAACGCCAAACCAGCCTTTTTCAAGAGGTCAAATTCTTTAGGAAACTGGCC